CCCCCAGGTCATCTGGGCTGTTGAAGATGGAGGTGGCAGATGGAGGTAGGAGAGGAGGCCAGAGAGGAGCCGTGTGCTCCTGATCCCTGGCCCAGCACTCTCCTTCCCTGGCCCCCACTTGTCATCTGCCCCACCCGGGGCCCGGACTCCCACTCACGCACTGGAAACTCCCTGTCTCGGGGCCACACACACCATGCCTGGCAGGCGCTGGAGATGCAGCAGAGCAGACGCGGCCACAGGAGTAGCTGTGTTTCCTACAGTGGAGAAGGGGACCCTGGTAGGAGCACTGCCCAGCCAGGCACGTGGTGCTCAACCCTATGGGCACTGACCCCACGAAAGGCCGGGGTTTGTGCTGCGGGAGGCCTCTGTTTGGCGAGAGCTCTGTCCCGGCTCCAGTGCGGCGGCCCTCCCCCGGCCTGCTGGAATGGGACCTCATCCCTGCTCCAGCGTCATGGACTTTTCCGGCCTTGGGTTGAGGCCTCAGCGATTCAGGCGGGGCCGTTTTGCTAACACCCGTGTGTATGTGGGGGTGTGTGGGGGGGTGTGTGTGTGTGTATGTGTGTGTATGCACGCGCCTGTGTGTGCATGCGTGCAGGCATGTGAGCCTCTGTGTGCCCACGTGCCTGCATGTGTGTGCACGTGTGTGCAGTGTTTCTGCCCCAAGGCTGGACCCCAAGGCCCGTCTTGGGTGCAGGGTGTTTTCTGTAGGGGAAACTGAGGCATGGGAGGCTCAGCCCCATGCCTGGGAGGGTGACTGCCAGCCAGTTGGCCTCAGAGCTCCCACTCCTGGGCACAATGGGCACCTGGCCCTGGGGCCTGCGCTTCTTAGCTACACACAGACGAGAGCCCTGGATCCCAGGCCAGGGGTGTCCTCTCAGCCCTGCCTCCCTGGAGTGCATGTCCCCCGGCCAACCTTCTGGTCTCCTTTCTTCCTCTCAACTTTACCCTCTCTCTCTCCTTTCCTCTCTCTGCCCCCCTCCTGGCAAGCGGATTGCAATCCAAACTTGTTGTTAACTTCTCCCCTGCAGTTGTCCACGGGCCCTTCCAAGTTAAACATTACTCACGGCGACAAGAGCCCGCCGGGCAGTGCCTGGCCTGGAGGTGGACCCGCGTGCAGAAGGTGCTGGGACGGGGTGAGTGCCAGGCCCCTCCCTGCAGCATCTGTGGGGCAGCTGCTGGTGCAGGTGGCCCCAGCACCCTGAGCCCATACCTGGGTCCCTGCAGCCTCTTGCCTCGCCCTTTGAAGTCATGAATGTGCCTGTTTATGTAACCCCCATGCTCGGCCAGAGCGGGTAGGCCTGTGGGCAGCAGGTCCCTGGGCAGGCTTGGGAGGGGCCAGCCAGGGGCCCCAGAGGGGTTTGGGCTGGGCCAGGCGAGAGCCCTCCCCTCGGCCGGTCACTCCAGCTCTGTGCCAGGCTAGGGGTGGGACTGGAAACAAAATGCTCAGAAAAAAAATAGCCCATCTGTTTTGAATCGATTCCGCTGATCGGGCCCTCAGTTTTCCCAGCAGGGAAGTGGAGGGATGGGTAGTCATGGGCTCAAGCACCTCAGGGAGCCCCCACAGCCGGGGGAGGCACGAAGCCCAGACCCCACTCACCACACCCAGCAGCTGCTCCACCCTTGCCTGCCAAGGGCCTCCCAGGTTAGGAGCAGAGCCCCCCAGGCTGGGTCCCCCAGGGGAGCAAAGTTGGATGTCAACAGCAAACAGGCACGGTGTCCTCTGCCCACCCTCTGCCACCCCACCCCTCGCGTCCTCTCTTACCACTCCCTCCTCCACCTGCTGCACGCATCCTGCAGGGACCCAAGCACCGTCCTGCCCCCAGGCCTTTGCGCTGCTGGCCCCGGCCCCGAAAGCTCATCCCTCACCCATTTTAGGGCTGCTGAGATGGACCTCATAGGAAGCCCCCCTCCAACTCAGCACCTCTCCACTTACCCTGGTCTATTCCTTTTAAGAACATGGACCCCCATCCAACAGAGAACATTTGGAGACTTAATTTTTTATGCTCTCCTAGGGAAGCTGCCAGCTCTGTAGAACAGGAACTCTTTCCCGTGTGTCTGTGTGCTTGCTGTAGGGAGGCATGTAGTCTACTCCACAGAAGAAACCAGTTCCACGCTCACCTACCCAGCGCCCTCAGGGCCCAGACCCCTGGCCTGCACCCAGACCCTGTCGGGCAGGACACATCTGGCTGACTAGAGCTCAGGCCAGGGGCCTCCTGTGGGGCTCAGCGGGGACAGCTGGAGCCTGAGCCAACAGGGGGAGGGCAGCAGGCCGAGGCGCACAAAGTTCAGGGGGGCTGCTTGGTGCTGGTGGCGTTCAGCCACCCCACTTCGTGCAGGGCTATGGGCCACTCGTCCAGAAACTCCACACCCTCCATGTGAAGCCGCTCTCCTGTCCTGCTCACACCCCCAGGACCCTTCAGGCTCCCAGCCTCCCAGCCTCCCTCCTGCCTCTGTCCAGACAGAGATTGTTGGAGGAGGTGCTTCAGTGAACGCACAACGTCCACATCCCTGCTGCAGCCAGGTTCCATCCAGGGAGCACAGAACCCGTCCTGGGCACCCAAACGCTCATGGGGCCTCTGTGCCACTGGGCCCCCTCTTGAGAGGCCTCTTCCCAGCACCTCACCCTGGAATGCAGCCTTAGGGTGGGGGGTCCTCAGAGGGGGCTGGGGGAAAGGCCCTGCCTAGTGCCCTGGGGCTGTGTTCTCCAGGCACCTTGTCTGTGCACCACAGGGTCTTGAGGGGCTCTGGAGACGGGCGGCTCACCTGCCTGCCTCGTGCCCAGACCTGTGAGTGTGCCTGCCGGTGTCAGACAGAGGCGAGTTGGGACTTCATCCCTGAAATCAAGCAGGAGGGTAGGAATGTGAGCCTCGAAACCACCTTGTTTCTGTATCATTTCTGGGAGCAGTGATGTTGGCCATTTGGACACCTGCTGAGGGTCCTGTTTTCCCATCCGGGAGCTGGTGGGACAGAGGGAGGCTGTGACCTTCACCCAGCCTGTGCCGAGAGCTCCAGCCCCCCACAGCTTCCACAGCCCTGCCTGCCACCTCCCCCACACCAGACCCTGCCCTCCTGCCCTCCATGCCTGCTTTGGGGAGGAGGCCGGGGATGGGTGGAGCTGATTTAGTCACAGGCCCTGCTTAGGCAGTGAGACCCCAGCACCCCCCCAGGTAAGGGTGCCTCGGGGGCCGGGTGGGGGTGGCTCCTCGGGGCTCCTCCTGGCCCTCTGGGGGCTGCGAAACTTTCGAGGCTGCACTTGTCCTTTTTGCAAGGCACTGCCAAGACGTGTGGCATTTCTGTGGGTCTCTGCAAGCACAGCGAAGCACACACGTGCTCCAGGCTGGGGCTCTTCTCCTGGAGGGTGACCCTGGGAAAGGGTAGCCTTGCCCACCCAACCTTGGTCACCAGTGGCCATCCAACCCCGGGTGTCCCCATCCTCGGTTTGGGCTGAGAGCAGACTGCAGGCTGGCGTTGCAGAGGCAGCTGGGTAAAGTGTGGTCCTAGACAGGGACACAAGCTGGCAGTTACTGCGGGGGACCTGGGCCTGGGCTTAGGGACTGCCGCCCCTATCCAGACGCCTGACTGGGACCAGGGTGTGGGGCTGGGCCCTGCAGCGCCTGTCTTGCCTGGGCTGGAGCCCTGGAGCTGTGCGACCTGGGGCCAGGGTGTTCTGACAGCCTCACTCTCAGGGGCTGGATGCCCTTGGGCACTACAGTGGGTGCCTAGCAGACCGTGCTATAGACCATACCCTGCTCTGGGCGTCTGTGGACTCCTTGGGCCCCTGCCACCACGGTCACTGCCTCTCTTGGGAGCAAGTTTCTTTTCTTTTCTTTTCTTTTGTTTTCTTTTTTTTTTTTTTTTTTTTGAGGTGGAGTTTTACTCTTGTTGCCCAGGTTGGAGTGCAGTGGCACGATCTCAGCTCACTGCAAGCTCCGCCTCCCAGATTCAAGCGATTCTCCACCTCAGCCTCCTAAGTAGCTGAGGTTACAGGTACCTGGCTAATTTTTTATATTTTTACTAGAGATGGGGTTTCATCATGTTGGCCAGGCTGGTCTCAAACTCCTGACCTCGGGTGATCCACACGCCTCAGCCTTCCAAAGTGCAGGGATTACAGGCGTGAGCCACCGCGCCTGGCTGAGACCAAGCTGCTGCTGCTACTTTTTTGTTTGAGACGGAATCTTGCTTTGTCGCCCAGGCTGGAGTGCAGTGGTGTGATCTCAGCTCACTGCAAGCTCCGCCTCCCGGCTTCACGTCATTCTCTTGCCTCAGCCTCCCAAGTAGCTGGGACTACAGGCGCCCACCACCATGCCCAGCTAATTTGTTTTTTTGTATTTTTAGTAGCGACAGGGTTTCACTGTGTTAGCCAGGATGGTCTCGATCTCCTGACCTCGTGATCCGCCCGCCTGGGCCTCCCAAAGTGCTGGGATTACAGGAGTGAGCCACGGTGCCAAGAGCAAGCTTCTGATGCTGAGGCCGCAAGGAGCTTCCCAGGCCAGGCAGGTTGCTGTCTCAGCGGCAGCCTGCAGCCTCCTCCCAGGATCCGGAGCAGGAGGGTGGCTGTCTTTTGCATTCAATCCGCTGGGCTGCTGCAGGGCCCCGCAGAGCTGCTCCAAGGGGCCAAGAGAAGGAAGGACGCTGCCCCCAAGGACAGACGGGCAAGCTGGAGTCAGGAGAGGCCCAGCCGTGGCCCGCAGGCCTTGAGTCGCTGCTTGGGGGAGCGTGAGGCAGGTATGGGAGGGGGCCAGGGAAGCCCTGCAGTCCCCCCACCCCCACCCCCGGCCCCAGGCAGCAGTGCCTCCGAGGCCTGGGCGGCAGGAAAGGGAGAGATGACGTCATTGCCGCCTGGAATCTGCTGTTTGGAGGCGTCGCCATGGAGACCGGAAGGCTCAGGGTGGGTAAAAATAGCAAACCCAAGAGGGTGTAAGTTCCAAGAACCCAAGTCTCTGAAAAGCGAGGCATACATGTTCTCGTTGCCTGGAGGACAGAGGGCCCAGGCTGGGAGTCTAGCGGGAGGGGCCGCTCGGGGCTGCTGGCTTGCAGCCACCCGCACGCGGTGTGTCCCCGCCACAGCGACCGAGAGCTTTGTCCCCGCGCAGGGTGTGGCGGGGGTGGCAGGCTCCCAGCAGGAGGCGTCTGCAAGCACGCTCCCTTCCTCTGCTTGGGCACCGCAGCCTGAGCCGAGGGCCGCTCTGCAGGGACTTTTCCTTCCTCGCAGAGGGGAAGCAGCCGTGGCCTGTGAGTCGCTGGGCTTCCCAGGCCTCATTCCGGCCGGAACTCCGTGCCTCCAGGCGGCCTCTGGTGGGGCGGGAGGAACCGGAGCTGGGGTTTTCGCTGCCTGGGCGGAATGCTCTTTTCCTGCCCTGCTTCTGGAGGAGGAAAGGGGCGGCCGCCTGAGGAAAGCCTCCTGCACCCCAGCCCCGTTCCTCTAGGGTGGTTTTCTAGCCAGGGAGCAGGATTTTCCTCCAGGCCAGGAGCTGGCTGGCCCGCTCCTTCTGGGCTCGGTCCCTGGAAACACCAGTACACACTGTCTGCACCTCCCTTCAGCGGTGTCCCAGTGTCCTCATGGGTCCCCCCAAGTCCCAGGCCGCAGAATACGGCAGGAGGCCCGAGGGCTCTGGGCTGCTCTCACCCAGATGGCTGAGTCCGTGGAGAACCCCTGCAGCCGCGAGGGGCTCCCTGGCCCGGTGCCACGTCCGAGAAACTCTGCCCTGTCTTTGCTCTCGGCGTGGCTGGGGCCTCCTCTCTCCCAGGCCAGGCTGCACCAGGGCATGGAGGGGACCTTGCCTGGCGGCTTCCTCCAGCCGCACGAGCCTGGGCAGAAGTGTCATTGGGCTCAGGGACCCTCAGAAGGCCCCAAATGACCCAGGAGCCCTCAGAAGGCCCAGAATGACCCAGGAGCCCTCAGATGGCCCAAGAGCACCCTGAGTGGGGAAGGATCCAGGGTGATTCCCAGCCCCGAGAAATGAAGCCCCATTCCGGGACGGTGACTGTCCCCGGGCAAGGGGTGACCGTCCCTGGTTGGGAGGCAACTGCCCACTACAGCAATGAACGTTCTCCTGAGCAGCCTGGGGAACCCTTTCCTCCCTCCGTGCCGGGGGCTGGTGGGGCTGAGTCTCTGTCCGCCGCTCCCTGGGTGCTAAATCCTGGAACATCTTCAAAGAGTTTCAGTCCCTTCTCTTCTGCACATACCATTGTTCTCAGGGTGGCCAGGCAGCCCCTTCCTCCACCCAGGGCAGGGGAGCACGGGGTCACCTCTCACGCCCAGCCCTCCCTCGGCTCATGGTGGTCTGTGGCTGGAGAGGGCGAGGGGATGTAGAGCCCCGTGTAGGGGTCGCTCATTCCCCCAAGACATAGCTCACATGCCTTATGTAACTCGTGAGCTCACGCAGAGGGCCTGCCAGAAATGACGGCAGGGGCGGGAGGGGCCTGCTCGGGAAGCCAAGTGTGGCTCAGGCTTACGAGGAGCCGGCCGGGCCCTGCCTCGAGGAGAGGGGGGCCCGAGCCTTTGCAACCTGGGGCTCCTACGCTGTGGCAGGGGATGGGCCGGGCCTGGGACGGAGCGAAGGCCGGGGTGGTGCAGTGTATGGCTAGGCCTGGGATGGCTGTGCTGGTCACTTGGCCTGTGGGTAACTGGCCAAGCAGGATGTGGGCCCAGGCCCACCCCACTCCCCCACCAGCGGGCGCCAGCAGGCCCGTGATGTCAGAGGAAGGGCCTAAGTGAGCCAAGACCCCCGGGAGCAGCTCTGGGGGCCTCGGAGGGGTGGGTGGGTGGAGGCAGTGCTGTCTCCCCCAGTGCCAGCTGCCCTTCCACCCCCAAACACAGACCAGGGCGGATGCTGCACTGAGGATGGCCCTGAGGCAGGGCTGGACCCAGTGCCCGCGGCTGTCCCTGCCCTTCCTCCCTTCCCTTTTGGAGTCCCGTGCTTCCCCTCTGCCTGCTGCACAGGCCCCCACGCTGTGGCTGGCCCAGCCCAGTTTCACTCCTGGAATGGGACCCCGGGCCCCAAGAAGGGCAAGGGCTTCAGGGAGGCTGTGGCAAGGGCCTCTGGGCAGCACTTGAGGCCTAGGTGACAGCACGGGTCCTCAGGGCAGTGCCCCCAGCCAAGAGCGAGCCATCCCTCCAAACACAGTACCAAGGGGCACCTGGCCTGGGGACCCGTGTCCCGCCAGAGGCAGGGCCTGGCATAGCTGCACCTCACCGGGCCCAGGCCAGCCATTGGCCAGCCTGTTGCTGGGAAGGCAGCCAGCCCCTGATAGGGAAGGGGTAACGGGGAGTCCAACTAGGAGGAAGGGGATGCCGGGACGGGGAGGCCAGCCCTCCGGCCTGAGGAGGGCAGAACACTGGCAGGGGTCCCTGGCAGGGTCTCGGACTGTGCCTTCGAGCCCTTAAGCAGGAGAATGGGATGGGTGGGGGCTCTCTGAGGGGGCCAAGGGCGGTGCTGGGAGCTCAGTGTGGGGCAGACCCTGCTCTTAGGAAGGCTGGCCAAGGGGCCGTGGCCCTAGACAGAGGGTGGGGCTGTGTCCTGCTGCTGAGGGGGAGGGGTGAGGATGGGGGCAAGGGGCGTCCATGCAGAGGCAGAGAGCAGGAGGTAAGGGGCTGGGCTCCTGGGACGACTTGGCCTGAGCCTGGAGGCTGCAGCCCCTCTGAGTAGCGGGAAGGTGGCTGCGGGCAGGTGCCGTGGGTGACTGAAGGGTAGGACCTGTGTGAAGGACCCCTCGCTGCCCTTGGGACCACTGGGCCCCTGAGATCTGGCTCTCACACATGCCCTGCCCTCACCTGACTTCCCGCCCCGATCAGCCACATGCTCCAGCAGGTCCCAGGTTGCCCTGAGCCTCAGCGTGCTCTGGTCTGCGTATGGTGGTAATGCCACCTGGCTCAGCAAGTCGAGGGAAAACTAGCCCTGGCACCTGGGTCCCACAGTGCCTGTGATGACTCATGAGGTTCTGCCATTGCAACCAGCAGTGCCACAGCTCAGGCCCCTGGAAAGCACTGTGGGGATGGTCCCCCACTTTGGGAAATGCTGGCTGAAAACTTCTTGTGGGCAAGGACAGCACCCTTCTGTCCCCATTGCATCCCCTGTGCCCAGCTCATGGTGCTCAGTGTTGTGTGCCGGGTAAAGGACATAAGCCAGGGCCTTGGAGGATGCTGGTGATGCCCCGGCCTTGGCTGGGTCCCTGGCTCTCGCTCTGTCCCCACTGTTTGACATGTACCTGCTTCAGCTAAGCCAAGAGTGAGCTCTGGCCCTAGGGTCCCAGGCTCAGTGAAGTGCTGAGGGCACTCGGGGAGGTGGCAGTGAATGACTGGGGTGACATGGCATGGCTGCAGCCCCAGGCAGCCATAACCAGCACAGCGCACAATCCAGGGCAGCACAGGATGCCCCCAGGACAGGGTCCAGTGGGCAAGGGTGGCAGGGCTGGGTGCCCACACTGGCTCTTAAATTCAGCACACGGTCCCCCAGGCTGGGCCTCACCAGTGACCCCCTGGCTGTCCATAGGCTGTGGACGCGTCCTCAGAGCCAGGCTGCGGGCTGCTGAGGGTGCCGAGACCTCTGTGCCCCTCCCTCCCTCAGGCCCATCTTCCTGCTGCTGCGCCCTCAGCCTCCGAGGTCCCTGTGGCCCTGGGCAGGGGCTGCCAGGGGTCTCCTGCAGGAAAAGGAGCCTGAGAGAGCCAGCCTTGTCTCCCTAGCCTGGGAGTGGGCCAGGCCCTGTCATACTCTGGGTGTGAGCTCAAGGTGGGGGTTGGATGGACAACTGGCTCCCGGGATGGCCCAATGCCTGGCCCAGGCTGTCCAAGCCTGGGCAGCCACGTTGCTGCCCTACCTGGCTTCGTCCCTGTGGGGAGTGGGCAGGAGCTGGGCTCTGGCTCTGAGTGGGGTGGTCGGCCGGCCACCTGCTCTCACCCTCTGGTTCCCAATGGCCACAATGGCAGGATCATCCGTGGTCCCCCAGGGGCAGGCGTCCTGCTCAGCGCTTCCCATGCATCCCCTCGGGTGACCCCAAGAGGCAGGCCCTGGCTCTGGGACCACCACAGGGAGGCTGACACACACCTGAGGCCACCTGGGCCCGGTACAGGTCAGGCAACTGATTTCACAGAAGACCCCACGGCAGGCGAGGGCTCTCCTGGGGAGAAGGGCTCTGAGAGAAACAACAGAAAAGGCAAACAAAACTGAAGGCAGCTTCCTTAGAAAACCAGAGAACGGGCGCGGTGGCTCACGCCTGTGATCCCAGGACTTCGGGAGGCCGAGGCGGGTGGATCATGAGGTCAGGGGATCGAGACCATCCTGGCCAACGTGGTGAAACCCCATATCTACTAAACATAAAAAAATTAGCCAGGTGTGGTGGTGGGCACCTGTAGTCCCAGCCACTCAGGAGGCTGAGGCAGGAGAATGGCGTGAACCCGGGGGCGGAGGTTGCAGTGAGCTGAGATTGCAGCACTGCACTCCAGCCTGGGCGACAGAGCGAGACTCTGTCTCAAAAAAAAAAGAAAGCCAGAAACTGCCGGCCAGGTGTGGTGGCTCATGCCTGTAATCCCAGCACTTTGAGAGGCTGAGGCGGGCGGATCACCTGAGGACAAGAGTTCAAGACCAGCCTGGCCAACATGGTGAAACCTTGTCTCTGCTAAAAATACAAAAATTAGCTCTGCATGGTGGCATGCACCTGTAATCCCAGCTACTACGGAGGCTTAGGCATGAGAATTGCTTGAACCCTGGAGGTGGAGGTTGCAGTGAGCTGAGATCACGCTGCTGCACTCCAGCCTGGGTGACGGAGAGAGATTCTGTCTCAAAAAAAAAAAAAAAGAAAGAAAGAAAGAAAGAAAACTAGGCCAGGTGCAAGGGCTCACGCCTGTAATCCCAGCACTTTGGGAGGCCGAGGTGGGCAGATCACCTGAGGTCGGGAGTTCGAGGCCAGCCTGACCAACATGGAGAAACTCTGTCTCTA